ATAACAACCTGTCCTTCTTTGAAGGAAATAATTTATGCTTCTCTCAGGTCAGGAAACTTCTCAATAAGAACAAGTCCTTCTTTAGTGTTTTGTAGAAACATTTCCATGTGGCAGCTGAAAACAAATGTAATAAAAAACTACAGAAAACAGTGCTCATGGCATTAAAATGCTTAGGATAGAGAAAAACCCACTTAAGGGAAGAAATTTCTTACCATTTCATCATTAGTAGGCTTAATATATCTTTGATAGTGAGACGGACTCCAACATTCAGAGGTCATACTCTTTATCATTAGAAAAGGAAAAGAAAACTGATATTAAATTCTTTAAAAAACAAACAAATAAACAAAAAACTCCACAAAGCCAGCAAAATAATAGGGAAAGGATCCACTATCTTAATTAGAAATAATTATCTTGTTATCTAAGTACACTGATTAATGTTTCATCAGTAACTTCATCTGCACATATATACACATAGAGATAAATATGGAATGGGTGATGTGTGTAGATATATTGTATATATAAATTATATATATATATTATATATGTATGTGTGTATGTATATATTATTCACTCCCAATTCCTCACTTACTCCAATCCCAATTCAGGGTCCAGAATCCAGAAGAAGTTTAGTGGAAAGAGAGTTAGAATCAGAAAAATGTTTTATGAAGGAGTCCACTTTGTAATCCCTTAGTGCCCTGTGTTGTTGGGTACATAATGGGCATTCATATTTGGAACTCTGATTTGAGTTAAAACTCAAACCAAATATACATTTGGAGTTGAGTAATATCCCAAGTGGTAGCATGAAATAATTTTTATTACATTTGGTACCTATCAGTGTAAGCTCCTTATTATCAACTTCTACTTCTTTTGAAAAATTCATGTACCTCATATTAAGCACAATTTCCACCTACGACACTTCAAGACTGTAGCAAAGGGCATTTGATGGAATTTATAACAGAGATAGAAAGGTGCTATTGTCTGGATGTTAGTGTCTCCCCAAAATTCATATGTTGAAACCTAATACCCAGTATAATAGTATTAATATGTGGGGCTTTTGGAGAAGTGACTAAGTGAATAGGATTAGCGTTCTTATAAAAGAGGCCCCCTTTCCACCATTTGAGGATGCAGCAAGAAGATACCATCTTTGAAGCAAAGAGTAAGTCCTCACCAGGCACCAGATCTACTGGTGCTTTGATCTTGGACAGCTTGCAGAACTGTAAGCAATACATTTTTGTTGTTTATTTTGGGTAATAAACAACCTTACCCAGTCTAAGGTATTTTGTTGTAGCAGCCGGAAAGCACTAAGACAAAGGAGATTTCAAATTTTATTCTGAGGGGGACTCACAATGGGATTTAGGGGAACTTAGGGAGAAGAGGATATAAATATTCATTGAACATCTTCTGGGAGTAGTATAACCTGTTGCTTTATTTAATGTTTATAACATTCAAAAAAAGTTCTTATTATCACCATTTTATACATAAGGAAATTGAAGCCCAGAGAGTTTAAGCAACAAGTCAAAGGTCAAGGGTTATAAATCATATAAAGGTAAAGCAACTTTGATTACTATAATGTCTAAACCCAAGCAGAAATCTCAAGTTCATAGCCACGGAACAAAAAGCAAGAAGCAAAAAACTGATGGAGTAGCTGTTGTGGCTGAAGCAGGTACTAAGTGATTGGATTTTATTTTGCTACTGGGTGTAGCCTGTGGCTTCTTAAAGGACTGGGTCCACATTTTCACATTTGTGTGACATTTTAAGGATTCCATCTAGCACCTGGTACTTAGAACAGTATGAGTTACAAGAATATGTTTACTAACCATTTTTTGAATTGCATAATTCTTTTTAAAAAATGAGTGAAAATAATGTTATGGAATACCAAATAATATCTCTCAACCTTTTAAGGCAATCAAAAGGGAAAATACCCACACAGGTTTGGACATAGAATTTGACCTGTAAATATAATTCACTCATAAAATTAGAATCTCTTCTTTGAGTAAAAGGTATAATGGAGGGTTGGGCTGCATAAATTCTTTTTTTTTTTTTTTTTGAACAAGGAAAGTGCACTTAAGTGCACTTATCGTAGGTGCAGTATAACTGTAGACACAGAAAGAGAAAAATCTAGTGTGATTTTAATTTCATTTCACCAGAAACAATAGATGTGAATTCCATACTAACATTCTATGTTCCTTTCACACCAACTAAAGCTGCTCTTTAAAGTCTTCTACTATTAAAGAGAGGAGATTAGATTCTCCTCCTAGCTAACAAATATAGCCCTATATTCTTTCTGTCTGCAAAATGAGTTATAATTTTACTCTTGGGAGGTAAGAAAACTCCTCCATCCATAACCTCAAAATACAGGTAGCTCTGGTTGTTTTAAAACATGTCCACACATTATGTTACATTGCTCTCTTCAAAAGGTGAATCATAATACCCCTCCCCTTAGAATGAGCTGGATTTAGTAACTTGCTTCTAAGAGATGAATAAGGTGGAAGTGATGATGTTTGACTTCTGAGACTATGTTTTAAAAGGCATTATGGTCTCTCCTTGCTCTGTGTCTTGGATCACTCACTCTGGGGAAAAACCATATGCCATGCATGCTATGAGGCATGGAGAAGCCCAACATGGCAAGGAACTGATGCCTCCAACCAATCCCCAGCAAGGAACTGAGGTCTCCTGCCTACAGCCATGAGAGGGGGTTGGAAGCAGATCCTACAGCCCTAGTTAGGCCTTCAGATGACTTCTTGATGGCAACTACCTGAGACACCATAAGCTAGAAGAGCCCAGCTATCCCACTCTCAAATTCTTAACCCACAGAAACAGTGAGATAATAAATGTTTGTTGTTTCAAGCCCCTAAATTTTGAGGTAATTTGTTATGTATCAATAGATATCTAATACAATATATATTGAAGAAAGTTCTTGAAATAAGAAACATAGATCAATACATAATTAGTTCATTTCAATATTATCACACACACATATAGAATATCCTTTGGTTGAAACTTGCAGGTACTACTTGAACAATCTGTCATTTTGCCCTCATTTTTTCCTTTCTGCCTTATAAATAGTTTACAACTCCGTTTAGAACCACCCAAGATTCGTCTTAAAAAACCTACTGAGCAACCCACCTCTCCTGCTTCTTAACAGATCACAACATAACCTTAAAATACTTCCCCAGTGATACAGACATGACCTCAGTTAAACTCACCAAAAACTGGCCCCACTTTGTTCCACTCTACATACCTTTCCCAACAATGGTGTGCTGCACTGGATATAGTTTCAAGTCTGTATATAGCCAATGAGCTGTATACAGCCGATATTTTATTT